TAATAGTAATAATAATAATAATAATAATAATATTGGTATATGATGGGTAAAGTTCAAATGGTAGTGTACTAACCAGAAGTATGCCCCAACCAGTTGGCAAGAAAGCAAGGAAACAAACTATGATATCTTGGAAGGTCATGTGAGGGATGGCAATCAAGATGATCAGAATAGACATGAACGTAACAAAGATTAGGAATTTGATCAACCGGAAAACAAGCTGAAAATTGGCGCTGAATCTCTGCCTTCCGACAGATACGGTCTGCAAAAAAACATAAATAATGACAATAAATTATTTTGAATATGTTATGTTGTCAGTTAGAGAATAAAAATACAAGGATATTACATCTTGAAGAGAGAGAAAGAGAGGTCGGAACGGTGATGCATAAGTAGAACTGCTATGCTTCTAAATTGTCCAATTACTGTGTATAAATACGTTATTTTATTTCTAAAATATAGATTGTACGAATTTCGTTAACAAAAATCTCGCTATTTAATATCTTGCAAGAAATTTAAGACCTAAATTTAGGAGGAAAATTTACATTTCTAATGCAGTTCAAAGACGCACAAAGAAAGGAAGTTCAGTGAAACCACAGCATGATGAAGAAAACAATGACAAATTTACTCTAATGACAATTAATCAAGAATAAGGCGTGAGAGAAGAAATTATAATTTAAATAAGTTGCTTTTCGAAATTATAAATCTACCAAGAATTCTACGAATTTACCTTCATGACGAGCAATACTATCACGATCACAAGCCAAGAAATGCCATATACCTGTAAAAACAAGCAAATAATTTAAGTTCAGAATCCCACATTTCTCATGTGAAATTGCAACAAATTTTCGTGCTTGAAATAACTAGTTACGAATGTACCAATATGCTTTTTGTCTTGGTTATATTCAAGTGATAGAGAAGCCCATATTGATAGATGAAAAAGCGGAAAGATAGCAGTATTTCCGTAATGGTCCCTCGCTTTCCCGAATATTTCAGATGATCTTGCTCTTTCTCCCACCATGATTCCCAGCTGCTATTCGTCGCCACTCCGATCCCACCACGGTTACTTATCCATTTGTTCCAATCAGTCCAATCATCAACAATCTTTTGCCATTCAAACCCAGAAGGATTAAATAAAAATGGAGCGAATAACCAAGTCCCAACCATAAACCACATCGAAGCAGTGATAAATATGTAAGCAACTGCGGATCTATAAGGTTGCCCGAATATTTGGTAAACGACGAGTAAGATCATCAACTCCATGCCCTTCACAAAATGACTGCGAGAATAAAGACGGTAATTCTCAGCAAACTTCGCATGGAAGACGACGAAACCGCGACCTGTGCCGCGATACTCAGCACCTCCATGAAGCAAAGTCCTTCCGTAATAGTGAGTTTTGGTTCCGAGCGAAAAAGTAAAGAAAACGGAAGCTAATTGTAACTGCATCATGATGAATTCGCTTAGCGCGTTTCGAAATCCTTTTTCAAGACCAATTTCCATCATCATAGGTAGTGCCATCAAAAACCCAAGCTGCACGAAGGACTGCGAGGCGAGAGCTACTTGAAGGGGATGGTTGTGAATGAACCTTTTCCCAGTAGCCAAGCCCTCATCAAGCCCGCTAAGAACGAGGTAAAGTCGCCCGTATAGAAATACGTATACTGTCAGGACAGTCAACTGCAATTCAAACAAGAAAAAAAAAAGGAAAATTTACATACCTAGCACACAATTC